ATGGTTAGTATAATGAAGTATAGTGTAGTACACAGTGAAGTACAGTCAAATTAATATTTCAGCAACATGGTTACGTATGTTTAACACAACTTAATGTGTTATTTAATTAACATATGATAGAACATATGTAATTAACATATGACATAACATATGTAATTTTAACATATGATATGATATCTTGAGAATGTAATTTTGATATGATCTAACTTGAAAACATTGTAATGATTGAAGCGACTACTTCAACTTGGTATTTAAATAATAGAGGTTTCATTTACTTAATACAATAAATAGGTTGATATATGACATGGTGTCTTGAGAATGCAATTTTGATGAAACGTGATGCAAAAATTATGATGATGAAGAAAGGCAGAAATTATGAAAAACATTCCTATATTTAGTACAATTTAATGCAAGCCTAAGTGATACTCATACAACACGGTTTTCATATAAAATAACTTTGTTCATCAATCTTTTGATACTACAGTATTTTGAGAATATTATTTTGAACATGGTTTAACAATAGTTTAACATGGTTTCTTAAGTCCCAAATTGACAAAAGTAGAAATTTTCGAATCTTCAACTTCGTAAATCCCCAAATCCCCAAATCCTTAAATCCTTTAATCTCCAAATCTCCAGAGCCCCAAATCCCTAAATCCCTAAAGCCTTAAATCCCCAAATCTACAAATGCCAATATCACTAAGTCTCCAAATCCCCAAATTTTCCACTTCTCAAATCAACAATTTTTCAAATTTCAAATTTTCATAAAAATCTTCGATCCTTCAAATTTTCGAATCTTCCAATTTTCACATTCTTCATATATACAAACTCCCAAATTCTCAAATTTCAAAATTCACAAATGTCCAACATCTCAACGTCCCAAAATTCAGAAACATAACCTCAAAATTTCTGAAACTTAAAAAATTTGAAATACTCTTTACAATCTGAATATTATATATTCATTCTTAATATTATATTATTATAATATAACATACATGTACGAACATACATGTATGTTTCACATGTACGAACACACACAGGTATGTTTCAATATAATTTCCTTGCATCAATACTCGATTACAACATCATTAAACATTGTCACCTATTAAAACACCCATAAAATAATTTCTAGCATCACTCCTCGGCAAGAAAGAGTACAGTAACATTTCCAGTTAAAAAATTCGATTTCTTTCGCGACACAGACTATATCGGCAACCGGCTACGAGGTATACCGTCTTTGAAATTGTATGCGTTCATGGATCGGTACATGGATGTACGTATATGGTCGAATCTGGGATTAATCCGGGATTATTGGTCGAGTGTGCGCCGCCCGCCGTCCAAATCCGAAATCCAACGCACACAACTCAGCTAATCCTAACCCCCCTCCTCATCCCCCTAACCCTCCTCTCCCTACTTCGAATCTCCCGCTCACACCATCCCTGTTCCACTCTTGGCATATCCTGCGTGTTTCGTGACAGTCCGGGCATTATCTACTCGCTGCGTCCAATTCTTCGTTCAATATAATTTTTTGTCGGACGAATCTTTCTATTTGGAGTTTTCAATTTCAGCGGGTATTTCTGTTGGTGATAAACAGTTCTTAGAGAACGAGAAATTTTTTAAATTTTTACGAGTTACATTTTTTGAATGATATGTAGACAGCTGATCATTTTTTTACTATTATCGTCATTATCATTAATATTATTATTCTTTGATACTATCAGTAGTGATATCGTTGACATTATTATTTATATCATTATCATTATTGCTAACATTATTATCATTCTCATTATTTTTATTTTTGTTGATGTTATGTATATCAATATACATGGTGTCAGTATATTACATAATATTTTTATTAACATATTACTCAATTTACAGAAATGGAAATGTGAAGTAAAAGACCGGAATATTGCGTGAGGGAAGGCGTCATACATTTTGAACATGCAATTAAATAAAGTGTATTTTTCTTACATAGTCGCGTGTCTACATTCAGTAATCTCTTCGGAATCAAATAATGGTTACACTGCCAAAGTCAGAAGCTAAGTACTTCACATTTCCTCTTCTGTAAATCGAGTAACATATTAATAAAAATATCATGTAACATGTGTTTTGAATTCGTCTCGATGTCCTCTAAAACTATGAATAAAAAAAATGTTCCTATTTAAAAAACCTGAGGTGACCTTGACTTTGCCAAGAGAACAAACTGTTTTCAAAATTTGCTTTACTAATATCTATCGTGCACTTCATACCCTGCAAATATTCTAAACTTTATTTCGTAAGGTGCAAGTGGGAGAAAAGTCGCAAGCGTTACAGGTAACACCCTGTATATCAGTTTAAATGTCCTACCATTCAACCATGAAGTCGATCATGGTACTATCAGCCCCTTACAATATTTCTTCTACGTGAATAAATATTGTATTAAAAAATATTGTGCTGTGTAATAATATACTAAAAAATCCCAATATGAATCCGATATTATTTCTACGATCTAAATGTCGTAACGAGTTCAATCGTATGGTGCAAGACGTTGTAGTACATGTCCGTAGATCGCCTAGCCACATAGTCAGGGATTCGAATTTAATCCGGATTAGTTCGTAAGGGTCACAATATCCTCCCCTCTTAATACTCAACCCTTACGCGTATACGAGAAATCAACGCAAGCCTGACGCAGGTAAACCCGAAACACATGAACACATCGGCCCTACTTTCCTGTGTGTCGCGATTTTACTGTTACGCTGACAAACACCACGCAATTTTCTCCTTTTTCCTGTGTTTACATTTTTACTGAGCTTCGACTGATCTACGGCGCGTGCGCCGTAAATGTACGTGAGCTCATGCTGCTCGGGTGGACCATGAAATTTCACTGCGACAAATTTTAGTTACGAGGAAAATTTGTACTACATCGACATTTTTATTTCGTGAATTGAATAGTGGAGTTTGAAAATTTGGACATTTGGAAATTTCAAGATTTGGGGATTTGGGGATTATGAAGTTTGATGGTTTTTGGGAATTTTGAGAATTTGGGAAATTTTGAGAATTTTGGCGATTCTTAGAATTTTTGGGATTTGGAGGATTTTTTGGGGATGTGGTTTGGAGACCTGAGGGTTTGGAGATTTGGGGATTTTATAGTATGAGGATTTGAGAATTTGGAAGTATAGAGATTTGGGGATTGAGGAGTTAAGAGTATAGGAATTCGGGGAAATAAGAGTTTGGGGATGTGGAAATTTGGGGATGTAGGAATTTGGGAATATTGGAATTTGGTAATTTTAGGATTTGGGAATTTTGGGATTTGAGAACCTTGGAATTTGGGAATCTTGGATCTTGGAAACCTTGGAACTTGGGAATCTTGGAATTTGGGAATCTTGGAATTTGGGAATCTTGGAATTTGGGAACCTTGGAATTTGGGAACCTTGGAATTTGGGAACCTTGGAATTTGGGAACCTTGGAATTTGGGAACCTTGGAATTTGGGAACCTTGGAATTTGGGAACCTTGGAATTTGGGAACCTTGGAATTTGGGAACCTTGGAATTTGGGAACCTTGGAATTTGGGAACCTTGGAATTTGGGAACCTTGGAATTTGGGAACCTTGGAATTTGGGAACCTTGGAATTTGGGAACCTTGGAATTTGGGAACCTTGGAATTTGGGAACCTTGGAATTTGGGAACCTTGGAATTTGGGAACCTTGGAATTTGGGAACCTTGGAATTTGGGAACCTTGGAATTTGGGAACCTTGGAATTTGGGAACCTTGGAATTTGGGAACCTTGGAATTTGGGAACCTTGGAATTTGGGAACCTTGGAATTTGGGAACCTTGGAATTTGGGAACCTTGGAATTTGGGAACCTTGGAATTTGGGAATCTTGGAACTTGGGAATCTTGGAATTTGGGAACCTTGGAATTTGGGAACCTAGGAACTCAGGAATCTTGGAATTTGGGAATCTTGAAATTTGAGAACCTTGGAATTTGGGAATTTTGAAATTTGGGAACCTTGGAATTTCTGAACCTTGGAATTTGGGAATATTGAAATATGAAAATATTGGAATTTGGGAATATAATACATTCTATGTACAACCCCTCTTTTCACCCATTTCCCAAACGAATTTACCAGGTAATAGAACTGAAGTAGCGCAAACTGTTAAAATCATACATAAGAAAAGATAAATAAACAATACCTCAAAGACGTACACAAGAGTTGAAATTACACGCGTGAACTCTAGTTTTCGTTCGCCTCAGTAAACGGACGCATGTAAATTGTTTCGAGCGCATTATCGAGGATCAAGGAAATTCCGCCGATAGTCTATCTCGTTTACGAGCTTTAACGACCCCTCTGAACAACCTCCATCTTCGTCTACGCACACAAACTCTTCATTATCCTTGACTGAAACTTGCTTTACGAATAGCAGAGTCCAGTTTCTTCGACTTGCGCGTTACCATCATTAACGATACTTTTGTTTATTACGTACTGGAACGATTTATAACCATTGATAAAATGCACCATATTATTCTGTTTTCTATCTTGTTTAGCTCGCTTGTTTTATTTGGTCAATTTGTTTCACTTATTTTTTGCGATTTATTTTTGTTTTATTTATTCTACTGAGCTGCGATATATTTTAGTAGATTTAGTGTACTTTATTATATTTTACTGTATTTTACTATATTTAACTTATTTCATTTATTTTATTTACTCAATTTTGTTTTACTATAATTTTGTACATGTTATTTATTTTTTTATTTCATTTATTTTACTAATTCTGCTATGCTTCGCTATATTTTACTGTACTATATTCTACATTATTATTTTATTTTCCCGAAAATAATATTAGTACATTTTTACATCAAAATCATTTTTTTCATATTACAGTCATTTTCATATTACATTAACATATTAGGGTCAAACTATTAGAAATTTCATTATAACTAACTATGAAATTTTATTATTATAGTGGAAATCCGTAGAGTGTTAAATACCCCAAGAAGTAGCAATCAAAATGAAAGTAAAACTCACCCGTGTTGGAGGTAGATTTACTGAGGTCGAATCCCTCCTGTTTCGGGCTTGCGTTCGCTTCTTGCTTCGGGTGTTGATTGTGCGCAGAGTAGGGTGTCTGGGGTGCACTTAGGGGTGTCTGCGATTGATGAGGATGCACCGACGGAGGCTGAGTTGAGTTTTGCGGCTGAGATTGTTGGGATTGGTGAGATTGGGGACTCCTCGGTAATGGGGACACGCTGGTCGGCCTCGAAGGTGGAGAGGCCTTGTGTGTCAATGCCAAAGCTTGGCTCTGTAACCAACAAATTATATTCAAATATTTTTATTAACATTTTCGTATATGTCAACCCTTATACTGACAAGCTGAACGTAACATAATGTATTGTTTTGTATTGTGAAGCTTAATAGCAATATTGTAAATGCAATGTTGCAAATGCAATATTCTAAATGCAGTGACAGTCGTTTTATAAGTAGGATTATATTTCATCCCTCAGCATGATGTGAAGAGTCAAAATACTTAAAATATTGGAAACATAATTGTGATGTATCATTTGCTAATAATTTGTGCAAATATTAAGAAATGATAAACTAAGAAAATTATAGTAAATCAGCGAAATATGAATAAAACTATATATGTACATATGTGTAAGCTGTCATAATATTTTAAATTTTGCAAATAGAGTTTTGATGTACAAAACAATTTTTGTTAATCTATTAAAGTAATATTAAAAATATGATAAGCGAAGAAACAGATACTAAATAAGCAAAACATGAGTAGTACCACGTGTATATGTACATGTATGTGTACATATGTGTAGGTTAACATAACCTATACGTCACATATGGTATAGATTATGATATAAATTATAATAACACTGCTTAAATAAGCAAAATATCAATAGGACTACATGTATATGTACATGCATATGTACAAGTAAACGTACACATGTGTAGGTTAACATAACCTATATGTCACATATGGTATAGATTATGATATAAATTATAATAACACTGCTTAAATAAGCAAAATATCAATATGACTACATGTATATGTACGTTCATATGTACAAGTAAACGTACACATGTGTAGGTTAACATAACATATATGTCACATATGATACAACTTATGATATAAATTTTAATAATTCTGTTTAAATAAACCAAACTGAACTGCATCTATGTATATGTACATACATCTATGTATATCTATGTATATGTACAAGTAACGTACACATGTGTAGGTTAACATAACCTGTACGTCACATACGATATAGTTCATGATATAAATTATCATAACACTACTTAAATTTTGAGAACATTACTCGTTCACGATAAAACTACACCTGTGAAATGACCAGTTCAGAAGCTCTAAATTACTAAAATCACAAGATCTAAATTTTGAATTACAAGACTCGTCAAAATAGGTGTCGTCATATCACCGTCGATTTTTATCAAGTTTAAGAATTAATGTGTACGCTAATCTACGTTTTATTGTTCGTTTATCTTCTTATTTTACGTTTATTTTTATTTACAACTTTTACCTCAATTTTATTTTCATTTTTACTTTTCATTTATACTTAATTTTTATTTTATTTTTACTTTTCATTTATACTTAATTTTTATTTTATTTTTACTTTTTATTTAAATCTTCTTACTTTGCTTTTATTTTTGTTTCTACTATCTTCTTACTTAGGATTTATTTTCATTTATACCATTTTATTTTTATTTTTTTTTTATTTTATGTTTAGTCTTATTTTCATCTTTTTACTTCACTATTATTTTTATTTAAGTCTTTCTATTTCAGTTTTACTTTCATTTATATTTTCTTACATTACTGTTACTTTCAATTTATATCTTTTACTCCACTTTTATTTTTATTTATACCATCTCCTTTTTTTTTAAATTTTTTTACTTTACCTTTATTTCTGCTCATATTTTAATACATTCCTCCTGTTCTTATTTATATATTTTCAATTTATTTTACATATTTTTATTTTAAATTAAGCAAGCTTCACAGAACGTTTCATTAAAATGCAAGATGTCGGGGTGGCTCCCGATATACCAAGGATATCAACAAGGTTTAATAATAGAGCGAAGAAGAACGACGCAATAATTTCGTGATTAACGCCGATGAGACGATATACTCGATATAGTCGAATCCGCGACAATTCGGTCATATCGAACGAGCCGGATGATCTAAGCGTTGCTCGCCGATGAAATCTGAACACGTGCTCAATTCCGACAACGGTCTGCTAAGGCATAAGCGCGGACTTAGATTTATGTATGAGTGAACTTAACTTAACACTAACGGCTAAGCCGTTCACGGTGTCAACGAGGGTCAAGTGGGCCCAGAATGCGACAATCCTACACTACGACCGAAGTGCGAAATGCACCGTTGGCAGTTTTCGTCGGTTGAAAACTAGATCGTCGATGACGACGCTTCCGTGAAACTGTCAAGGGAATCGTTTAACCCTCTTACTATCTATTGTCACTTTATTATGTCACTTCTTATCGGGGAAAACGGTTGGGTTATCGATTTTAATTATTATAACGGTTGTATGGAACGAGTTATTTCGCGTGACTCTTCGTTAATTTTTATTTTAATATGTTTGGAAGGTTTTGAGGGTAGAAATTTTGCGACTGAGGATTTTTGAGAATTTTGGAGTTGAGGTATTTGGATTTTTGAGAATTTTGGAATTGAGGTATTTGGATTTTTGAGAATATGGGAATTGAGATATTGGACCTTTGAGAATTTGGGATTTGAGGTATTTGGATTTTTGAGAATTTGGGAATTGAGGTATTTGGATTTTTGAGAATTTGGGAACTGAGGTATTGGATTTTTGAGAATTTGGGATTTGAGGTATTTGGATTTTTGAGAATTTTGGAATTGAGGTATTTGGATTTTTGAGAATTTGGGATTTGAGGTGTTTGGATTTTTGAGAATTTGGGATTTGAGGTATTTGGATTTTTGAGAATATGGGAATTGAGATATTGGACCTTTGAGAATTTTGGAATTGAGGTGTTTGGATTTTTGAGAATTTGGGAATTGAGATATTTGACCTTTGAGAATTTTGGAATTGAGGTATTGGATTTTTGAAAATTTTGGAATTGAAGAATTTGGACCTTTGAGAATTTTGAAATTGAGGTATTGGATTTTTGAAAATTTTGGATTTGAAGAATTTGGATTTTTGAGAATTTTGGGATTGAAAAATTTGGACCTTTGAGAATTTTGAGATTTGACAATTTAGAAGCATAAAAATTTGAAAACTAAAAATTCTGAAAATTTGGGAAACTTGGAAAACTAGGAAAATTAGGAAAATTAGGAAAATTAGGAAAATTAGAAAAATTAGGAAAATATAAATTTTAGTAAAATTAAAACTTACAATATAATTGTAAAATTATAATAACAGGGTGTATAATAAAATAAAAAATTATTAACAGAAAATTCTTACAATATAATAAATTATCTTCTAACAACTCTTGTATTATATAAATTACTTCACTCTCATAATTTTTAACTTTTATATTAACCTAACCTAACCTATAATATTCTTCAAATATTTAAATACCTTCAAAAAAACTTACCAGTAATAATTACTATAAAATAAAATAAAATAATTCCACAAAAAAATAAAATACGAATATATTTACTTTATTCATTACGTCACACTAGTTAAGAAAAGATATTTGCTTAATCCTCTAGAGATAATAAAGATAATAAAGCTATTTTACTGAACAATTGTTCGATCACGTTCGATATGACGTTCGAGTTTCTAACCGATAATGTTTACTAATTGCGTAAACAACTTTCATCATTGAATAGATAACAATATTCCTATTGAGTTTTAAATTAAGTACCTGATAGATATTTTGTTAGTCCATTACTAGACTGCCTTTCATTTCAAGATTAGTGGATTGAACTTTAGATTAGATTTATCTAAACTATTCGAAAATCTGCGATAAACACATGGGATCGGTGGTTTTTAATCGCGTTACTTCTTCAAACTGATCTCAATGACGATGACTTTAGGTGATTTTCCATTTCCCGTATGTGTATCATGTCTTCTATAGGTATTTCATATAAAACATATTTGGTACATATGTGTTCTATAGATGTTCTATATAAAACATATTTTATATAATTTTCTTTTTGTTAAAAATTCTTTAAAAAATTTAAACTTTAGAAATTTTTATTTTGTTCAAAGAAAAGTACTGTATATTAATCTTATTGGTAAAAGAAAATTAATTCTATAAGTTTTTAAAATAGGTTAAGTTTGAGGTTAACCTTCCTTAAGAAGTATATCATAATTAAAATATTAGATAATTGTAATAATGAAATAGTGAAATATTTTCAAGGATATATTCTACAACAAATTTGTACATTTTTTAACTGCAATTTGCTGTGATTTATAACAAAATAATAAATTAAACTTGAAAAGTGTCATTTGTACTAAAGATGAACTCCATTTTGTTCTCAAGTCTGTCATGTTCCTTCGTCGAAAAACTAGAAGCTTCGAAAATATAGTAAATAAAAAATTCTTCATATTATCACTGACATTTATATATTATTAACATTTATCAACGTAACCTAACCTAACTTATTTTTCTTTCAAGTAACACTGTTTCAACTTCTATTGTCATTCACAAAAATCACATCATTTTCGACAGATTTATTTTTCTGATCAACAAGTGCAATTTTCATAAAATTTTGTATTGTTCACATCAACTCCCTAACTCATAAAATCCAACATTTCCTGTAGATTGATATGATATCTGTTCAAGAACATTTCACACAAAATTCCTGATAATCCTTCCATCTTGATTCCCAAAACTAGATTCATATTTTTGCTCTCGAATTAAATTTCACACAAGACTATCCATAATACTTCATATTCAACTTTACTTCTAAAATAAGAAGTGCAAATGATGTTCATAAACGTAGATGTTCATAAATATCTGACACGACTTCTAACTCTCCATCTACATCCTAAAACCAAAACCTACAAAATTATCCATAAATTCATACTTCATAAACATTTACACCCAATAACTCTCCATCCACCTCCTAAAACCAAAAAATACAAAATTATCCATAAATTCATATTTCAGTTCATAAACATTCACAACCAATAACTCTCCATCCACCTTCTAAAACCAAAAAGTCAAAAATTTCCCACAAATTCATATTTCAGTTCATAAACATTTACAACACCCAATAACTCCATCCAGCTCCCGAAACCAAAAAGTGCAAAATTTCTCTTAAATTGATATTCAGTTCTCCGTCCTCCACAA